TTACATTCTGTGATTCCATTTGTATTAAATGTCCAGAATAGGCAAATCCACAGAGACAGGAAGCAGATTAGTGGTTGCCAGGGTCTGAGGGAAGGAGGGAATGAAGATTGACTATTTAATGGGTAAAGTGTTCCTGTTTGGGGTGATAAAAAAGTTCTGGAACTATTTATTAATGGTGGGTGCACATTGTGAATATACTTAATGCCATTGAGTTGTACACTTTAAAATTACCACCATAGTAAACGTTATCTGTATTTTACAATAAAAACATGTATCCTATATAATAAAAGGCTAATATGCAAATAGATTGAACGGCAGAACAACCAGTCGCTATGACGTGTGCTGACTACTAGCGGACATGTGCAGAACATGGTGGGTACTGGCCACAGTGGGATGGTGGAGAAGGTGAACAAGGGCGCCAGACCAAGGTGGGGCGCTGGTCGCTGTCTTTGGGATGAGCCTCCGGTGGTTACTAAAAATTCTTTGCTTCCACATGCCATAGTCCTGCCTGGCGCTAGCACCTGCTGCTGGCGCTGGTCCCGCTCACACCCACAGCCAGTGCTGGAGCTGCCGCTTGCACCTGCTGTTGGTGCCCGGCGTGGGTCCTGATCACTTGGTGCCATCAGCAGGTGCGAGCGGCAGCTACTGGCCCTGATTGCCCGAGGGCTTTTCCACCTCTCCCTGCCCCTGAGGGGCAATCAGGGCAGCAGCCACAGCTCACACCCCCTGCTGGCGCTGGCCTCAATCACTCCACACAATCAGTGGGTGCGAGTGGGGCTGGCGCCGTCAGCGAGTGGGAGCGGGGCTGCCGGCAAATGAGACTGGGGGGCTGCAGTGGGAGGGGCCAGGCTGGGGCGCGGAGGATGGGCCAAGACCCGCCCCTATGACTACCGCAGCCTTGCAGCCCACAGTTCCTTCCAGGGTGCACGAATTCGTGCACTGGACCACTAGTCCTATATAATAAAACCCTAATATGCAAATTGACCAAATGGCAGGACAACCAGTTGTTATGATGCACACTGACCACCAGGGGGCAGATGTTCAATGCAGAAGGTGCCCCCTGGTGGTCAGTGCGCTCCCACAGGGGGAGCGCCGCTCTGCCAGAAGCCAGACTCACAGCTGGCAAGCACAGTGGTGGTAGCAGCGAGTGGGCCTAAGCCGGCAGTTAGACATCCCCCAAGGAGTCCCAGACTATGTGAGGGCGCAGGCTGGGCTAGGGGACCCCACCCGCAACTGCTGCATGAATGCCGTGCACTGCTTTCGTGCACAAATGTCGTGCAATGCTTTCATGCACCAGGCCTCTAGTCCTATCTAATAAAAGAGAAACATGATAATTAGCCATAGCTCTGCTACTCTTCCCATTGGCTAATCAGGGCGATATGCAAATTAACTGCCAGCCAAGATGGTGGTCGGCAGCCAGGCAGCTTGAAGGGGACATGAGGCTTGCTTGCTTCGGTGACAGAGAGGAAGCTAACATTCCTCGCCTGCCTTGCCGGCCTCTGAGCTTGCAGTTTGAAACATTGTTACAAATATAGAAGCTAAACAAAAACCCAGAAACCTGCTTTCCGCCAGCCTGGATCCCAGA